TGTAATCACCTAGCACCGCTTATTCTTTAGTTACTACCAGCTACTAGCGCCGCTTAACTCGCTTCTGTTGTAATCACCAGCACCGCTTATTTTGTAGTTATTACCAGCGCTGCTCATTTGTTAGCTCGTAGCAGCACCGCTTCTTCTTTCTTTGTAACTACTAGCGCCGCTTAACTCGTATCTGTTGTAATCATCAGCACCGCTTATACTTTAATTATTACCAGCACCGCTGCTCTTTTCGCTACAACCACCAGCAACGCTTTCACGCTCTTACGTTGCGCAGCTATGGCTTACTTCCTCCTTGTAAATATGTAAATAATTGAGAACAGAATATATTTAGTTACTTCGACAATCACTGACTGGTTATTTGGAGTCTCCCCCAACCGTATCTCCGAATCCTGGCACCGGCGAGCTTATCCGCGCTAGTCACTTGAGTCAGATAAACTCGCACCGTTACAACATTATACATAAATGTACAGAAATACAATTATTTAATGAATTTGGAATGTGCAGTGTAAAGCAATCAAAATATATCTATTTTAAAAATAGTGATTCTGCTTTTACGTACAAAAATGATTTATATGTTCAATTTGTACACTTTTCTTTCTACTGTATCTTACACATTATTACATTTTATTATACCTCTATTATATATATTTATATATGCAATATATGTATATAGAGATATAGTAAAATGTAATATTTTACCATTAATTTAAAAAGATAGACATATTTGGATTATGTTTTTCATTGCACATTCCAAATTCATTAAATAATTCTATTTCTGTAGACTTATGTATAATGTCAATAGAAAAATCATAGATTAGTTCTTAATATAAGTATATAAAGGTATAATAAAATGTTATATTGTGTAAGATACAGTGGGAGGAAAAGTAGTATAAATAATATTATAAAAAAAGTATGAATATAGACTTTATATATATAATTTATATTATATAATAATGTACACTTTTTTCTTTGTTTGCACTATATTAAATTTTACTATATCTCTATATGCATATAACTAATCAATGATTTTTCTCTCGACACTACATGAGTATGCAGAAATTTTATTATTGAATTAATTTTGAATGTGCTCCAAACACAAATATAGTAATTATAATTCAGGGTTTATGAATAGGAAGTTTATAGGAAGATGGGATTAAAAGAATGCACAATTTTTTAGATATAAAATTTTTTTATTTTTGCATTTTAATGCAAAATACATATACATACAAATACATAGATGTACATACATGTACATACAAATACATAGATGTACATACACACATTGGAATACATGTACAATAATTTTTTATTCATTCGTAAAAAAATTATTGAAAAAAAAAATTTTTTTATACATAACAAAATAAATGTTAATACATATAATGAATGAAATTTTATAAAATATATATTTTATAAATATATATTATAAATTTTATAAAATCTAATTTTATAAAACATATTTATTATATAAAAATACAAATTATAGGTCTAACTTCTATTTAATCGCATTATTTTGTATACATAGTGTAAAAATATATCTTTTGTTTGCAGCAAATAAACTATAAGACAAAAATTGCGCATGGTGCAAAAAAGAAATATTTGATAATCAAACCAAAAAACCAAAAAACCAAAAAACCAAAAAACCAAAAAACCAAAATAAGCACAATTTATGCGATTAAAAAGATTATAGACCTATATTACATTTCAAAGAAACAAAGAAATAAAAAATACTTTTTATTACTAAGAGCAAACGGATGTCTCTGATTTATAAAACCAAACGCAGCAAAAATAAACCAAAGTAACCAAAAAACCAAAATAACTACAATTAATGCGATGAAAAAGATTAGACCTAC